TTGCATCTGCCCTTCATTGACAATCTCATAGATATCCCTGTTGGAAGGCGCCCTTGAGGATCATTGAGTGTAAGCTTTGACTCCTCACGGGTTGAGCTACACTCAAATCTCAGAGTCAGTGAGGTTGAAAAAGTCCCTGGAGATCACACAGTGTGACTGCAAACCTAACACTGCCTATTCCTTTAATAAATTGAGTCCTGAAATATTCCATGTATTTTCAATCCCTCCAAGACCGGGAAATCAGCTATTTCCCTAGGCAACCACTTTCAATATTTGATAGTACTTTTGATGAAAGCAGTTTTTCTAAGATCCAATATAAATATCTGTACCTGATGCAACGTGAGGTCATTTTCATTGTTCTTATTGCTTGTTTCCTTGTGTCACTGCACAAGTGGGATGTTCAGACATTCCCATTGTTATCTAAAGATTTTGTCAACAGTTCATGTTTAAGAAATCTTTGTGGCCCGCAAGTTTTAAAGATCAAATCTATTTATAAAATGAATTATATATTAAACAAAGTAGAGATAATAGATGAAAGATCTCAGAGTTACTTGCTACTCAGTATAAAACTAAAAGGAGCTAGAAGTAGATTAAAGCATAACAAAAAATGTACAACATGAAAGTATCTATCTTAAAGCTTGTCAAAGAAACAGGAGTCAAATCTTACACACCACAGTGATGATGATAATAATGTGGATGTCTTTCACTTAACGTCCTCAGCAGTAATTGCAAAACATGTGTCCTTGTCCACAAGAGAAACACCACACATTTCCAGAGAAATTTTTAGAATGTTTCTGTTTTGTGAAAGTTTGGTATGGCTTTCTAGCGTTATAAAGTGAGGTGCCTGTCAGTCAGAAATCCAGCTTGTCTTTCCAGATCTCACTTTAACAGTACGATGTTTATTGGCATCTGGGAGATGCCAGCCCACTGTTAGCCCCATAGTGCCAAAAGAATTCACTGCATGACTCTTATTCCTGTTTGAATTACCTGTCCAGGTAACAAACCACAGATCAGCTCTTAAGCAGAATGAGATGCCCTGCCACACCTGGGAGAATAAATCAATCCCCGCCTGGCTACAACCTCCCTTCAGGGAGCTGTTGGGAACTGTAAGGTCCCTCTGAGATGCTTTTTCTCTCTGCTAAACACCCCCACTATCGCAGTGGGCAGTGTTCTGAGTACCATGACCCTTCTGAAGAAGCCTCTAAAAACACCTCGCCGTCTGTGCTCACACTGGGTGATTTCAGCTCTTTTATGATCCGGGCGATGCAGAAGAAGAGACAAGGTCTTTGTGTGGAGTTCCAAGGTGAGCCTTTATTGAGCTTCTTACTTGAGATGTTCCAGGGACGAAGAGCCACTCAGACTGGGAAAGCAGGGATTTACACAGGGATCTTGAGGGGTGGGACAGAACACTAGGGCCAATGGGGTGAAGGCACAGGGGTGGAGCGAGGGGGAAGGGCCAATGGAATTCATTAAATCTGCATGTCACAACAAGGCATGCTGGGAGAAGCCTTTATCCTCAGCCTAAGTGGGTATGGCTTGAGAGGTTTTCCCTCCAGGGGAGTGCTGTGGATTCTTTCCCTGTTGGCCCACCAGCCTCAACACTCCACTTCCCTCAGTCCTTCTTCATCAGACTTGTGCTCTTATAGAAGTGTTTCTAACAAAAAGGACTAGCATTTGTTGACATCAATGCCCTTCAAACTACATGCTCAGGGGCCCTTATTAATTAGGTCCCGAGCTTGCTCTCCTACAACCCTTGGGAGTAGCTGTGCGGACAGTTTTTCCCATAACACCTAAGATTTTTTACTCAAGCACTTCTTGATTACTGTGGCCAAGACAGCAACAATCCCCACTTCACCCACAAGAGCATCTCTATAGAAAAACAACAGGTCTAGGAGGGCACTTTTCCTAGTTGGCTCCCACAGCACCCATGTCAAAAAGCTACTTTCAGTGTGTACTTCCAGAATTTTCTGGGCTTGTTCAGCACTTCTCTATGATGTCTCCATTTGCAGCTAAGAAGTTGAGGTACACCATGAGTATGACTTTGTGTGACTGATCAAGAGATTTCCTTTCATTCCTTATAGCATTATCCACCAGTGTCATCATCCTGGCTCAGTGATCCCTTATAGACTGAGTGAAGCTCACAGAGGGAATAGATTCTCTCAGAAAAGGGATGGCAGAAAGTGTCCAAGTGTGCTTTTACTCTAGAGGAAAGGTGTGGCAGCAATTCCCCCTGCTGATTGAGCAGTGCCTTCTCCATGTCCTGCATGCTCAGGTCTGTGTCAGATTTTCCCCAGGGAGTGTCTAAGGATGGGTAGCTCCTCCATGCAGACCCCAGTGAACACAAAGAAGAATATTAGTGATGCCTCTTGCACGGTCCCTGAGCAGCTGCAGCTGCCAGCAAGAATTTCTGGGTCCATCTAAAATGGTCACCCTGGCTGTGACAGTATTAGAGGAAAGGGGGATGAAAGCCATCTTCGTAGCCGCTGTAGTGTGACGACCCATCCTTAAGGGGAAGGAAGCACTGAAGATTTGTAAATGCTTATGATCAAAATGAATAACAAAAGTCAGGCTCCACAATCAGAAAACTTTATTACCTAACTACACACTGGGCTCGGAAATCAATATGTTAGTCCCCTGACATGAGCACAAGGCAGTGGGTTTTGGATAAAGGGGTAGGGTTAAAGGGAAGAGAAGAAAAAGAAGGAGAGATCAATTAAAGAAAGAGAGAAAGAAAAAGACAAGAAAAGAAAGAGAAAAAAAGAACACCAGTCCTGGTTCCAGTGTTGATCCAGTTAATGGAATGTCAATCCTGGCTGCAGTGCCAATCCTGGCAATAATCCTTAGTTCAGCATCAATCCAGCTGTGCTGGTGTGGTCTATGAGATGTCCAGGGTCCTGAGGGCACTTTCCAGGCGTGGGGGTTACCTTTTTATCAACAGGTTTCTCTACCCTAAAGACAGGTTTCCCACTTTCTATGTCAATTAATTATCATGTACAGTCTTTTCTTTCAGGCCTTCCTGGACATGGGTCAGAGGGGTTTGGTGGTTTTTGAGGGTCTTAATCCTACTCTATAGTCCACGCCCGCTTCTTGGCCTTATTCTTGTGCTTATGCTGTACTGTGCTGTGGCTCTTTCTCACAGAAAAGTACTGCCCTATTTCCTCCTGACCACCCTTCTCCAGCCAAATATTGGTCCTTCTCACAGCATTTTAATACCAGCAGTCCTTGGCTATTACCAACAGTTCCTGGTTGGCTCCACTGCAATACAATTATCAATGTTAGAGACTCACTCGTTGGTCCCTTATATTCTGAATAAAGAATCAAGAGCTCAAAAGGTCTCACTTTGGACACTTTACAGTTGCAACAGAGTGGGATTTAGTCATAGTAATGCTCCATCATTCAGGTATTTTCTCTGTAACTTTGTTTGAAGGTTTGTCAACAAGAATATTATTCCACTTGGGTTCCTAGTCAGAAAAAGTCAGCAAAGAAAAATAAATCAGCAAAGAAAAATAATTTTCCAAGGCTGTTCATTAAAAAAAAAAAATGTATTAGTTAGACAACTGTTAGTTCTTGGGAAAAAATAATGTTTCTGATACATTCAAAAGGAGCTTAATATAAATGGAGTTTGTCAAGGCTAAGGCCTAATGAGGATTTCTCAGATTGTAGTGTGGCCAGGGGTAGGGGGAGTGCATGACCACAATCCACCCTGCAATGGAAGTCATCTTCTCTGGGCCTCCACACAGTAGTCATCACTGGATGCTGTGCTGGGGAGACTGCCAAGACAACACTGTTATGGACAGGTTTACAATGAAAACTTCAAAGTAACAACAAAAAAAAGCAGGCCAGTTAATTAAAAACAAGTAAGCCTGTTTATTACAAACAGAACAACTGGAAGCCAAAGCCTCTGGCTAGTCCCGAGACTGTTTCAACAACTTAGTAGTTGTATACCTAGGAGCATTTCCAAGGATACCAGCTCCAAGGAAAGACCCGGGTGTCACACACCCCAGGCCTTTTAAAGTCTCTGTCTTCTCTCCTGATTGGGGCGCTCAGGATCCGTGCTGTGATAGGTCTCTTTTTCTGTTGCTGACCGGCCCATAAATTGGTGCAGTCTTGGCCAATCATTTTGAGATTCTTCCTTCTTATTGGTTGGTCTCTCCTCCAGTCTTAATCCAAGCTGTGGCTGTGTTCTACGATGTTATACTTCTAGAAGTTCTCTGCCCCCCCCCCCCCCCCACCAAAGATTGGCATTTCCTCCCTGGTTCCAGTCCCCTTTTAGGTATACACAACAGTATTGAGCTCTAATACAGCTAATCCCCTTACTTTGTATCCACAATATCCAAGTCTGCACCACACCCTGCTAACTACATTTCCAATTATAACTATTTGTATTAACAACAACCCTTTTTATACATACATTGTTAACAACATTGCACAAAAGTTTAAATTTTATTTTTTTGTTCATAACAACACTGTTGCTGCTGCTGATGGCAGAGTGCTGCTGCACAGAAGCTTTTTATCTTCCCTTTCTGTATCCCACATTCCCCTCTCTTTTTCTCAGCGCTGTGAGGTGGTTTTCTGCTATGGACTGTGAGACCCACAAGCACAGCTGTGTGCATGATCACCTCTTTCAGCAGCCATTGCGCAGCACACTTGCGAGCCGACGCCGAAGATCCTGGTACTCGCTCATCGCCTGAGAGTGGGCAGCTGGATACTGTGCCAGCTGATGGAAGAGATTGGGTGGCTCAGCTGCTGTAATGTCCAGGGGCAAGCTAATCTCCTGAGGCAATCTCTTGTTGCCTATAATAAAGTGGTTAAGGCATTTCTTCTCCAGAGAGCAGCGCAGGTTCACACTGATATCTAGCAGGCGCTGCAAGAAATACCTCCTGCGCCATTGTGACACGGGGAGACTGTTCAGGAGCTGCATGACGATGGTCTTCAGGGTGTAGGTGGAAAAGCCTGTGCCCAGCAGAAGACGGCAGAAGAGCTGCAGACATCTCAGGTGCAAACTGTCGGGGGGGGCCTGCCTGGCAATGTGCTTGAAGAACTTCACCTCTGCCACAGCGTAAGTCTCAGGCCAAAAAGTGCTTGGGGTGTGTGCTTCCCTAGGCTGGCTGCTCACAAATATGTCAGAGTCACATCTGCGCACCCCGAAGAGCATCTCAATCCTGATGCTTTCTCCGCCATTGGTCACCTTGAATTGGCAGGAGCGTGTGGAGGGCAGCAGCGTTAAATGCCAGTTGTGCGACTGAGGCAAAGCTGGCCAGATTGCTTTCACCAGTTGCCGGAACCAGCGGGCAGTTTTGTGCACGTCCAGGTAGGAGTCGGTGCACAGGGTGTCTAGGAGGCTGGGATCCTGATTCCTCCTCAACTCCTCCTCGGGGTGGTGCAGGAAGCATAGCATGTTCTCACCCTGCTGCTGCCCTGTGCAGGTGCACTCCAGCTGCACGCGGACACGGAAGTTCCTGACGTGCCTCTGCCCTGCGCCGTCCAGCTCCAGGTGGAAGCTGTGGCCTCGAGGAGGAGTCATGGGTATGAGCACACGGTACACCACATCCTGCTCACGGGGACTCCAACCTTCAAAGGCACTGCCCACCCCGATGGCTCGGTGCAGGACTGGGTAGAAACTGTCAGACAAGACATGCCCAAAGTAAATTGTATAATTGTCCATCAAGTCTATAATCCTCTCACAGTCTGTCTCCAGGTCCTGTACAGGCCACTGTATGCGCTCATCTAGAAGCCATGTGAGATCATTGTCAGAAATATGGTTTTCTTCATCTTCCTCTCTACTGTTCTCTGCCTCATTGCTCCTGTTCCTCCAGAAAAAATAGATTCCCAAGAGAAGGACAAAAAGTCCAGCAACAACCCAGACCTGCCGGGGCTGCATAGCAAATCGGAGCAGGTCTCCCCACGCCCCTCCACTCTGCTTCAGGGTGAGCTGCTCCACCTCCTGCTCCAGCTGAATTCTCTTCTGCTCCAAGTGCTTCGCACGCAGCTCAATGCTCAGATGTCTTTCCTCATCCCAAACATCACCCACGGGCTGCATGTACTGGATGAGGCTTTCCAGGAGCATGAAAAGAAATGTTATGGCATCCATGGTCTGCAGGAGGATGAAGAGAAGGCTTAAATGGGGCCAGTAGGGAGGGAGATGGAAATGAGGGCAGCAGGGATAGGAATCACAGGGATCTGAGGGCAGGAAGGACAGGGCCCCAGACAGCTGGCAGGCAGCAAGGGCTATGCCAGTGCCCCTGGAGCTGCAGCAGCAGCAGCAGCAGCAGCAGCAGCCCTGTGGCCTGCCCAAGGCTCTCCCATGAGGGGCTGTCCCTGCACACAGGGGGAGAAGGCAGCCCCGACTGCAGCGTTTCTGCCCCAGCTCTTGTCCCCAGCCCAGCCTCCCTGCCACGTGTGTACTCACCGCTCGCCCAAGCAATACAGGGCCAGCGTTAACCTGCTGGGGCCTTTTATTGCTTCCCCCTCTGTGACACGTCCCCTGTGATGTAACAGGTGTCACAGCCCAGTCACCATCCAACCAAGTTAGCCCTGCCTTTCATCCCCACTCCCACACAGCCACTCAGTGTAGCCTGAAGCAATCAAAGGCTGGGTAGCTGGGTACACACAAAGTGCCCACCAAACTTAGGTTAAGTCGTGGAAAGACTACACGTGTGGCTTCTGTGAGAACCTTCTATGAGGGCTGTAGCTGCAGCTTGAGCAGCTCTTGTGGTGACACAATTCACAGTGGAATGGAAGATCTGACTTTGGTGGTCCAAGTGTGTGGTACCACTAAAAGGCCTCTCTACCCTCACTGTTGTTCAGGAGAAGTGTCCACCCATCCTTGACTCCCTGGGGAGGAGGTGCCACATTCCTGAGCACACAGGACATGGAGAAGACACTGCTTTGTCAGTGTTTGAAATTTTTGGTGCACTGTTCTTCAACAATAAAACTCATTCTGGGAGTCAGATCCAAAGATGAAGAGGCCATGGCAAAGGGCCTGGTACTAGAGACTCCTGTTACCACATGGATACTGAATGCTCTCTCTTTGTGAGAGAGTCCCATCCCTCTGGAAGTTTCACCCTGTGCAAAGATGCCAATAAATTGCATCTTGGGCAAATGCTTCATCTTTTGAGTGTCTTTGTCTCACTCTGGTGGGGAATGCAGGCACCAGTACTCACTGCTTGTGGTTGGTTGACCTTGGCTGGACAAAGAGAAACAATAAGGACCAAAGACTTGTGGGTTGAAACAAGAACAGATAAGTTGCTCAGGTTCATCTGGGGGATGCATATTTAATTTGCTACCAATCAAATCAGAGTGGGATAATGAAAAATAAAACTAATTTTCTTAAAATATCTTTACTGCACCTCTCCCTTCTTCCTGGGCCCAACTGGTTACCGTGTCCAATGCTGTGAGCCAGGACTCGGAGCACTTGGGTAGTTCTCCATGCTAGGCTTCCTGTTCACCTCCTGAACACCAGAGGTCTTAGTCAGCTACCAAAGGCGAGTGACCAGCTTCAGGATTTTCTTCACTCATGAATATCAGCCCATTTCCTTGACAGCTGATAGCTATGTGCAGGAATTTGGCTTTGCAGACCTGAAATAACAAACTAGGAAGTAGGAGGATCTCTGTGGAATCCAGCTTTAGCCTAAGTATTCGATAATCTGGCATAAGACCAGCATAAAAACCAAAGTGACCCACATTTGAAGACTTTATGTTCTGACCCATTATGAGGAATATATATTTATAGGAGAGCTGTAAGAAAGTGTAAAAAATACTGATAATTTAATGGTTTTAGCCCTAAGTACAACAGGAAGTACAACCACAATGACATGGTAAGTAATTCCCATGGAAACTGATAGTATTTTCCATTAAATTGGAATTTATTTTAGGCTATGATATGCTTAAGGACACATAATGCATAATGCTGCAGCAAGATGCCATATGTAGAAAAAGAAAATGGCTAAACTGTGGGTATGACTGGAATGTGGAGGAGGAAAAGCAGAACTCAGCATAAGAAAACCCTGTCCCAGCACATCATGTTACAGGCAGGAAATGTTCCCTGCCTTCTGTTACCACTAGATTTCACAGCCTGGGTTTCCCTGCAGTGGACTGAGTAAATAATGCAGGTGGAAAAAGTCAGCATGGCTCCTCCTTCCCTGATCCCTTAACTGCGTCATGGATCTCTCCTAGCTCAGGGACAAAAAGTATTAATTAACTGCCTTACCAGACACACTGCCTTCATGTCTGCTAAGGCTATCACCAGCCAATCCAAGCTTCCTTTCTATTCTCTGTGGTCTGGAATCCACCTCCAGCCCAAACCTGGGCTGTCAGTCCGTGTTCCAGTGGCATTGCAGGGTGCCCATTCCAGCTTGCCCAGCCCCGGCATGGATCCCAAAAAGCCAAGCCCACCAGGATACCATGCCTGGCCTGAGCCCCCCAGCCCTCCTGGGCTTGGCTGAGCTGCAGGATGATTTCCTGACTTGAACTCATCCTGTCTCATCACCATAACATGCTCTTGAACACTCAGCAGGGATGAACATGCTGAGAATCTCCTGCTCTGGTCCCTGGATGGGGACAGTGGGACAGACAGACCATGGCGTTAGCACACTCAGCTCCCTGCTCCCAGACCCTCAGGGAGCTGCCAGCCCTCACAGCACCTGAGAACGAGGTTTGCAGTCCCATGATAGCCACATTCTGCCACCACCCCTTGCCAGGAAATTACACCCTAACCCACCACAGCCTTGTGTAGCCAGTGGATCTTGTTGCTGTAACTACAAGCCACAGGTTGGGTGGCAGTGGGGCAGTCCTGAGGGAATTGGACCAGCAGAAGTCTTGTCAATGTATGGGCTGTGGAGAAGTTCTTGGTAGCTGGATCTATTGATTTCCCATAACTGAAATCTACAGTAATGAGGCTTCACTTCTGTTTCTTCAGCTCCTTCTTGAGAAACAAATGCCATGGAATAGGTCTGTCAGACCATATGGCACCATAAGGGGTTGGGGACTCGAGAGAAGAGATGAGGCCAATAGAAATTTGTTTTGATTAACAAGAAGGGTTCTATTAACTTACCTGACAGTGTTAAAGGCCAGGCTGGATGAGGCCCTGAGCATGGCCCTTCCTGACATAGTGGGTGGCTTCCTTGCCCACAGCAGGGGCATTGGAAGTAGTTGATTTTTAAGGTCCCTTCCAACCCAAACCATTCTATGACTTCTATGATGACTTGCCCCTAGGTGGGATGTATTCATGATCTCCCCATGTACAAAGGTAATGGTGGCTGGTTCACCAGGTACAGCATTCCCATTTACCTTCCCAGCTATCTAGACAGGTTATCAGTGTGAGTATGAAGCAGGTGTGAGATACCAGGATCAGCCTTTGGATGAGGGTGGTGTACCTACAACATCTCCCAGCACTTGGGAAGTGCTTGGCTTGTATGGCTGGAGTGAACGGTGTCAAGCTAACCCAGTACCCAGACCCCTGTGGGGAAACTGAGTCAATAATGGTGCTTTGTCTCAAGCCCCCTGACACTCAGCAGCTATAACAAGCAGTACAGCTCTAGCAACCTCCGCCAAGAGCATTTTTTGCAGTTTTTAATCTAGGCAAAATAAGGAGAGGAGAACAGTCAATGCTAATGGAAAATATTCTTACCTTTACAAGGAATGGCTTAAAATAAAGCATTCCACTAAGTGAATTCCCCCTTCCTTTCTTCCTTAAAGAAGGACTTATCTGCAAACTTTTCTGCAAACATCCTAGCAGTGAACAGTGTTTTCCATCCCTTGTTCCCTGTGGAAGTGTCAACACAAGTATGAACAAGATGCTGTGTGATGGGGCACTCCTCTCACATTCAAACAATCAGTAGTGGTTATTAAAGATACACAGGCAGGTTATTAAAGATTATTTGTATGAAGAAACAGACTGAGAAAAGTTGATGTGTATTCCCTCTTCCAGAGCTAGAGAAAAAACAAGGTCACCAAACTGCCTTGCAATCAAAGGTTTCTGGAGATGCAGGCACAAATAGCCCCTTTGGAGAGGGGATTAGAGGGAAACCCAACTTAGTATATATATAGAGGCTGGAGGAGACAGCATAAGAAAGATGAGGTTTCTTGGCATCTTACCCAAAAAAACAAACCACTGCAGCTGTCAACAATATCAAAATTCTCATGATCTTCCATGAGTTTCATATTACTTCTATCTTTCCCCTCAGATGAACTGAGGAAATAATCCACTTGTATTAATTTCATGTCTGTTGAGAATGATGAACACATGTTGCATTTGTATGTGTAAAGGGCTTTATCTTATCTCATGGGTCTGGGAGACTGAGAGACACAAGAGGATGGAGCTATGATTGTTCTTATTTTGGAGCAATAATTTAAATCTGAGTAAGAAGCACACCTTTGACGTGTAGCTTCAAAAGAAGTTAAAGGAAGCACGGCACATCCTGTTTCAACAAACCCTTTTCCAGTAACCCTAAGGAAGATCTTCAAACATTGTAACAGTTTTGGAAGCTGCTTACCTTCATTCATAGTCTTCCTGTTTTCCTCTAAGGTCAAACAGATTTGTATGTGAAAGGACAACCTGCAGTTGTGAAGCCACGTGCCGCTTCTTGTTTACACTAGTTCTGCAAAGCTAATCCCAGAGCCTCTGCCTTTTCTTGGTATTTTCAAACTCAATAAAACCACAAAGACTTGAAGAGCAGAATAGGTGGTACATTTTAAATGCTTTATCAAAGGGTGATTTGCTTCAATGTGCTCTCATTATTAAAGTAGGGCATCTGTTGAAATAAAAAATAAATTGTGCACAAAGCAAATGAAAATGCTGGGAAATATAAAGCCAAGAAAATTAATGAGTGTTAACAATGTCCATGGTGCAGCCAAGTTCAGACCTATCTGCTGTCTGCTCCAAAATCAACATCTTCATTCAAGGGCTTTCCTCTCTCACAAATTCTTCTCAGTGGCACCCAAGCTCTTCTTGAAGCTAATGGGAACAAGCTCTGACAGTTATATAAATGACTTCTCAATGCACAAGAACCATCCTTGTGAAATCAGCACAGGCTACATTGCTGTAAGCAACAGAGAGTCAAAGTCACTTAGATTGGAAAAGACCCTTAAGGT